CTTCTGGAGTCCTATTTCTTGGGGAGGTCAGGTCAGGTCAGGTCAGGTCAGCTGCGCTCCAGGGCAGTAGGCCCCCTGGGGGGAGGTCAGTCCAGATGTTTGATATCACTGGTGTGAGATTTTCAACATCTGGACGGACCTCCTCCCACTGGTGGCCTACGCCCTGGGCCGACGCTGACCTCCCGGCAGCTCGACCGACCCCTGACCTCCCCAAGAAATAGGGACGTCCAGAAAGGCTAAACATTTTGACCATTCCAGGACATAGGGGCCAGAGAAGGGTCGCCACACCCCTGGGCAGGAATAGGGAGGCACACGCCCAACGAAGGAAGGTCAGGCATTGGCAGTTTCTTTAGCCACGCCCCTGAGAGGTGTTGAGATTTCACATCGGGACTGACTCCCTTCCCAGGGGCCTACGCCCTGGGCGCCGCTGACCGACTGACCTAGCGATACTACATACAAAGAAAGAAATAGGACTCCATCAGTGGCAACTTTGTACATTTCTGGTGTCTACTTTTTCCCTCTTCATTATCCACACCATTGTACAGGAATGGGCATTGCCCCCCATTTTTTTTTTTCCCCGACCGCGCCAGCCCATCACTTGGTCGAGAGGTTGGACTCATCGGCATGGAAGTTTTAGCCACTCACCTTTGTAGCCCTCGCCCCCATGGCCTTACAAGCACCGCTACTGATTCTCAAGGAGGGCCCTGTCAAAAGCAGAGTGTGACGAGAGTGTTAGGTACGAGGTGGGTCACGTTGCCCCACGGCCAGGTTTGCCGGTGGTTTATTGTTTGCCGTCTCTGACCAGGCACCATAGCCTTAACCCAAATCCTTGTCATCTTGTGATTCAACTCCGTGTGCAGCCTATCAATAAAAGCGTTCTAGCACTTGAAGCTTTTACTTACTTCTGTTACAATGTTTAAGCGGTTGTTTATAAGGAAACTCTTACACAACTCCTTTGCGTTGTCATTAGGTATCATCTCTCATTTTTCATGTGGTTAAGGACCTCTGCGGCAGAGTGCAGAGTGAAATTAATTTCAATTCTTGCTAACGGTTCATGTTCGATGTCCTGCATATAGATAGGTAAAGGGTTCTTCATATTACAGTGCGTTGTGGTGGTGTTGGGCTTGCTGGTCGGTTTTCGGCCTAAAGAAGCTTGCACTCGGCGGAGGGAGGCTTGTGGTGGAGGATCCTCGGTGGTCATCCGTCGTTCTACGGAGGACCCACGAATTAGTTCGGAGGTCTGGAGGAGGAGGATCCTCGGGCGAGGGTTCTGGACTGGAGTGTGGCTTCCGGTGGATGGAGGAATAAGTAGGCAGTTAGATGAGGAACACCACTAACTGCGGTGGAGGAAGGAGGGGGCGGTGGTTCCTTTGGGGGAGGTGGATCCTTCGGAGGTGGTGGGTTCCTTGGGGGAGGTGATCCTTCGGAGGATTTTCGAGGTAGGGGTGGCGGAGGATCCTTCGGTTGGCGGGGTCCTCTGGCAGGAGTAAGTACAAGTTACAGCGCGGACCAAGGACCGCTTCGGAGGGGGTGGCCGTGGATCTGTCGGAGGGGGACAGAGGATCTTCGGCAGAGAGGGTCTCCGGCAAGGAGGGATCCTTCGGCAGCAGGGGTCCTCCGGCAAAAGGATCCTTCGGCCAGAGGGTCCTCCGGTAGAGGATCCCTTAGGAGGCTAGGAGTGGGTGGCGGTCGCTTCGGTGGGGCGGATCTTCTGGCGGAAGGGGCGGTGGCTTCGGCGGCGTAGGATGGATCCGTTGCGGGGGGAGTGAGCAACCACTGACAGTGGCCAAGCAATAACTTCGGAAGGCTCTGGCGGAGGCGGTGGAGGAGGGTGGAGGAGGATCCTTTGGCGGCGGGGCTTGCGGGGTTCAGGCGCGGTGTGTTGGCAGTTACCTGCCGCCCTCCGGGAAATAACTTCATACACAGGAGATTATTCGACAAACGAGCTAATGAATTTTCTGAAAATAATTATTAACAAAGGAGAACGTTCGTATGGAGAGTCGTTAAATTGAAAATTAACGGAGAACAGGGAATATCTCGATCTGTAATGATAAAACAAAAAGTATGGTTATGTATAAATGATTATGTAAAATGATATGAATAATGCCAATATTCGTAAAATTACAAGGAAGGCACAGTAATAATGGTTGACAGTTATACGCCACACACACACACACACACACATATATCTTGTATATATATATATATATATATATATTATACATATAGAATATATATATATATATATCCTTGTGTAGTAATCAGAGAAAACTTCATAATACCAAAACACAGCACAGAAAACAGGTCAGCAGCATATTAACCAAGGAACAACCACATCAATAGGCCTCTCACATGTACTTATCTGAGTGTGTGGTTTAAACGGACTTGAAGTAGAAAATTACCTACTACCTTCGCGTTTCCGTTGAAGGTATTTTAGCGAATTAAAAAAAATTGATTACGTAGGATGTCTTTTTTTGTAAACCTTCAACTATATACTATCTATATAAGAATGAATACAGCATAGCTACATGTATTGTGTGGATTTATCGATTAATATTAAATCACCGTGTATGGCACTATACACAAAGACGGAATAGATAGATAGACAAGCCAAATCTATATCTAAAAATAAATATAATGTGGTATATATATACATATATATATATATAGACTATATATATATAGATATATATATATGTATAATATACGGTATATAATGTATATATTATGTTAATTATATATGTATGTATGTATATATATATCTGATACTTATATATACATATGTAGTACGTGGTGTGTACGTGTACAAGAGACACATACACGCACCCACGCATGTGGAGACTATACATTAAAGCATAAAGCCACACAAATACAGAAATACACACACACCACCACCACACATATATATATATACATATATATGGTGTGCTTGTGTGTGTGGGCATGTTATGGATATGAGGGTCTGTGTGCGCGTATGTGCGGTGCTGTAACCTGCGGGCGTGGCGATATGTGTAACTTGCACAAGCATATATATACATACATATTCATACTATGTGTGGGTGTGTGGTGGATGTGTGTGACGCGCGTGTGTGTGTGTGTGTACTAATTTAATTTATTTACGGTCTGTTAAGGATAGTATGTTTGTACTGGACTATACTCAAATAAGGCCTCGGGCTAGTACAGTGGTTCCGTGTCGGCCTCTCATTCCGAGGGGTCGGGTGTTTTCGTCCCGCAATGGTGCCTGGAGGTTACTGCTGTGGCGGGGTATTCACGGCGGGTAAGGACTAAGCTCTGCCGAGGCCGCACCAGCTGAAAACGTTTAGCGAGTCGGCATAGGGGACACAACATGGACATGCCCGGGTGAGGCTCAGCTTCGAATATCTGACTATCCTTATTAACTCAGTCATTGTTTTTTGCCCAACGCAGGGAACTTAATTCGTTTTCTTTTTTTGTGCGATATTCCAGGCTTTAGGCTTTGCGCAAGCGGGAGCGAAGGGAATGTCTTTAATGGAGGGGTGTATGGATTATGTGGGGTGTTCGTTTGTCGTGTGTCTGTACGTTTGTGTGTGCATTTTATGTGATATGCTGAAGCACACTTACAGATGTATTTATATATTATGTATATATATCTAGAGATTAAAATCCTCCCCTGACCTGGCCTCGACCCTAGCGCACTCCGGCTTGGAGACCGGAGGGCCCAGGGCAAACCAACCAACGCCACGCAACCACTAAAAGGAGTATGCCAACTAGGATCTAACGAGATTCATAGACATTACTTATCTACTCATCATGAGTAATGATAGCGAGGTTTACACACACTCCCCGTGGGGGGCATCGGTGAAAAGGGATTTAGAAATTCGGTATATATATGAACAAGATATCAAATGCGGTTTGCATTATTCCATCTTCAATACTACATATACTAGTTTATTACTTCGTGGTGTCGATATGTATGTACTGGACTGTATCCCATCATTCAACGCAGGTAAGTGAATAATATTTTTTTGAGGGGTCGATATTCCAGGCAAACAAGCGGGAAGTCTTTACATGGATTTGTGTGGATGGGAATGAGTGTTTGGTGCGAGCGGAGCGGTATTTCACTACTGGTGTTTCCTATGCAAATTAAGTGTGGCGAAAATATTATGATACTTGATTAATGTCATTGGCACGTTGTCACCGAACTGGCATATTAAACGCTTCATAGTATAGTCATTTAATTTTAGTAATATCCTGTTACCCGACTGCAGGTCCTACTCAAGAATAAAAAGTGTTCTTTTCTATCGTAATCAACTTCTGACCGGTTAATTTGTTAATTCAAACCCAGTCTTCTGTCCATCCTTAAGTTGACCCCTGGTTTCCACCTTAACTGACCCCATGGGGTCAATACTTATATTGACCCCTTGGTTGTCCATCCTAATTGACCGCCGTGGATTTAACGTTTCCTGGCGTAAGGCTGATAGAAGTGGATCCTGTGTTCCCGCCACCACCTGGTATAATCTAATTGAGATTTGATATTGTCCATGGAACAAAGAAAAATAATTCTTCATCGCCAGTCATCATCAAATCCCGCGATGGAGCTTGTACCATCAGCCAGAGGGAAGACTCCACACCGCTGGGCCACGATATTCGGCTCATTAAAGATCATAAGCAGAGTGTGATGCATAAGAGACTGATAAAGATATTATCAATCCTAATCATCAGATGTAAGAAGAGGGGAATGTTCGCCTGCTTAAACAAAAAAAAAAAAAAAAAAAAAACTAGCATGTGTGGTGACCATTATCGCAGATGATAACAGTGCTCACGGCATTCGAACACATTGTTACTTGACCTTAAAACGAAAGCACGGTGTATAAAGATCATCCTCCTTTGCGCTGCCATCAGTATCATCTCTCATATCCTATGAGGTAAGACTTCGGCGGCAGAGTTCAGAGGAATATGATTTCAATTCTGCTAAGGTTCACGTTTAGTATGTCCTGCATACAGATAGGTTAAAGTGATTCTCATTTACAGTCAGGGAAGGCAAAGATACCTGTTGCTTTCAGAACGGAGTTGCGTGGTGGTGTTGGCTTGCTGGTCGGTTCGGGCCTACAGCAGCTGCATCGGCGGACCGGCTGGTGGTGGTGGAGATCCTCTGGTGGCATTAGCCGGTCCCTACGGAGGGACCCAACTAATAGTTCGGAGGTCGGGGAGGAGGCGGGTCCTTCGGAGGAGATCCTTAGGAGGAGGATCCCCCTTCGGGGAGGATCCTTTGGAGGAGGTTCTGGACAGGTGGCGGGGAGGAGGAATAAGTACCAGTTATAGAGGACCAACCAATACTTCGGTGGAGGGAGGGAGGAGGTGGCGGTGGGTCCTTGGGGGGAGGTTGGATCCTGGAGGAGGATTTTCGGAGGGGGGGGGGGCGTGGGTCCTCTGGAGGAGTAAGTACAGTTATCAGGGACAACAAGGGCCAGCTCCGGAGGCGGGGGCCGGGTGATTATGTCGGAGGGTGGCAGAGGATCCTTCGGAGGAGGCCGGTGTGGTCGCTCGATGGCGGATCTTCTGGCGGAAGGGGCCTGGTGGTTTCGGCGGCAGGAAGAGGATCCTTTGGGGGGGATGAGGGGGAGGGAGCAACACTTACAGTGGCCCCCAAGCCAAATTAACTCGGAGGCCTCTAGCGGAGGCGGGTGGTAGGAGAGGAGGGCTGGAGGAGGATCCTTTGGCGGCGGAGGCGGAGGGGGTCTTTTCGGTGGTTCAGGCGGCGGTTTGGTTTGGGTGGCAGTTACTGCCGCCCTCCGCGGGAAATAACTGCATCTACAGGAGAAACACATGTTCTATTGAATGAATGTTGTACTGCATGTCGTGAGAATAAATAATTTAACAATCAAGCGATTTTTGCGTTAATATATTAAAAGACATTATTCTCGATACCGTAATGTAATAATATTACGGGTAAATGATTTATGCTATAATAATGATATAAGGAATGCTAATATAGCCTACGGGCTAGGTTGTACAGTGGTAACGTTGTCGGCCTCCTATCCGAGGGGTCGGCGGTTCGCGCCCCGCGCCAGGCGCGAAAAGTTGCAATTGTCGCCTGGAGGTTACTTGCTGTGGCTGGCACAACGGCGGGGTAGGAAGAAGCTCAATCCGAAGTCAGCACCAGGGATACACATTAGCGAGTCGGTATTGTCGACACAGGCCGGGCTCCCCTCATGGGCATAGCCGCCCGGGCCTTTAGGTTCGCATATCGGACTTATCCTTAATGCTTATATCAGGAATATAATAATGATACTAATGGCATAATGATGAAGAGTTACACCAAACACACACACACCATTATAAACACACCCAACACACACACTCTCACACACACACACACAATATATACTCTTTGTATATAAACAGAACACTCCCACTGACATACAACCAGTGACAAATAGGTCAGCAGCATTTTGACAAGGAGGAAAACCACCAAATCATAAAACCCCCTCCTCACAGAAACAGAAGCAGAGGGTGTGGGCTCATACGGACTTGAACACAGAACACTCCCTATCTTTGCGAAGCCGTCAATTATTTTAAGAAACAACAATTAGGATTACCTAGAAGATCTTATAATTTTTTAAACATTGTACTATGCACTATACATAAGTGTGAATACAGACGGGAAAGTATATGTGGGGACATTAGCTCAAGAGATATGAATTATTGTTTGTTAACTATTAACCTGGGCTAAAGAGGGAGACATACGCATATAAGCGTCTATGCGCCCATATATAACATCTATGTGTGACACAGACAAACATACACACACATAATATTATATAGTATATATATAATAATATATATAATATATAGCATGTGGTCTGCTTGTGTCTTGTGTTTGGTGTTGGTTATGTTTATACCTATACGCGCGTGTTATGTCCGTGTATGGATATGTGTGTGTTGTTCGTTTTGTGCGTGTGTTGTTTTCTGTACGTGTGTTGAGTGTGTTATGGTGCAGTTTATCTGAGGAAGACACATATACATACAATTTTTAATGTATATGTATATATAGTGTATATATATATTAGATATATAAATAATATATATGTGGGGTTTATTTAGTTACGTGTGTGGAGATGTGATATGTATGTATGTACTGGGACTGTATCCCATTCTTGCCAACGCAAAGTAGTTAGTTAACCCATTCGCCATCGGATTTTATGTTCTGTCCCCTGTAGTTTTTTGAGGATTTGTTACATACAGAGGCTCACATGTGCTCAGCCGGCAAGGAATCTTATAGTAGACCCTAGCTACGACCAATGATTTTCCCCATTCCTTCTTTGGCGGGATAATTAATACCATGCTCTCAATAACAATAATTCCTTTATTATGTTATTGAGGTTAGGGTTATTCACTTGCCATTAGAAGAATTTACACAATAAAAGGATAAAAAAGAAAAGAAAGCTTTCCTAAATTGACGGAAAAGGGTAAAAACAGGTGAAATAGGTAGTTCTGAAACTGGCAGTGGGTTGATTAAGAACTTGCGGCGCCATCGATGGTAAATTACAATAAATAAAACGTGCATCAACGGGGTAGGCATCTGAGTCTTGCACTGTGGGCGCGAATGGGATAACTGAATATTTTTGCCGTGGGTCGATATTTCAGGACAAACACGCGGGGAAATGTCTTCACATGGATTTGTGTGGATGGTCATGCGTGTTTTGGGGCGCACGGGATATTCACCACTGGTGTTTCCATGCACATGTAAGTGTTGGCGAAATATAATACCTGATTATTTCATTTAGCACATTTTGTCAGTAGATGGCCATTGGCGCTTAATACTATCTTTGCTGTGAATTTACTTTTTACAATCTTTATCTTTAAATACTGAAAGCCTTTTACCAGAAGAATGGCAGGTCCTTACTAAGGGAATCAAAAGTTTATTATTCACAGTCCATCTGAACTAGAAAAGAATGCATAAATTATCCCATTTCTCGTCCATTCCCTAATTGACCCATGGATGAGCTTCATGGCAAGGCTGCTAGAACTGGATCATGCATGTGTTCCGCAGAATGGTGTAGTTAGTACACCTCATTCTGGAGTAACTTGCTACATTTGGCCTGTTCCTTGGCGTTAATGCCTACATTATAGTGGAAAATAAATAATCGCCAGTTATCATCAAATTGCGACGTTTATGTACACGTGGGTCCGAGATTCGGCTCATCAGTAGGATCATAGTAGAGATGAACTAAGAGACTTATAGATATGTCAGTCTAATCTTACCTTTCACATTAAAATGTAAGAAGGGGAATTCGCTTGCTAAAACAAACGAGAAGGAACAAATTGTCACCTGCACGAACTTCAAACAGAAAAATGGCGCTTGTGTGCTATGTGTGCATGTGGGTGCGTACATATCCACAGTGACCCACTGTCATCTACAACGATGTTGCTTGACCTTAAAATGAAACTCACGGTGGTGTATAAAAGATCACCTCCTTTGCAAGCATCAGTATCATCTATTCTATGCAGATGGTATAAGACCTCTGCGGCAGAGTGATATTGATTTCAATTCTTATAAAACGTTTCCTTGTTTAGTATTGTCCTGCATTACTGAGAGGTAAAAGTGTGTTCTCAAATACAGCTCAGGTAAGGCAGATACCCTATGCTTTCAGAGACGGAGTGCGTTGGCAGGTTGGGCTTGCTGGTCGGTTCGCCTATCAGCAGCTGCCTCGGCGGAGGCTTGTGTGGGGGAGGATACTCTGGTGGAATCAGCCGTTCCTACGGAGGACCCCTAATAGCTTCAGAGGTTATGGAGGAGGAGGAGGATCCTTCGGGGGGAGGAGGATCCTGTGGGGGAGGATCCGTCGGTGGAGGATCATTTGGAGGAGGTTTGGAGGGGGTGGCGGTGGAGGGGAATAAGTACCAGTTATAGAGGACCAAACAATAACTTCGGGGAGGAGGAGGGGGCAGTGGTCCTTTGGGGGAGGTGGATCCTTCGGAGAGGCATCTTTCGGAGGTGGTGGCGGATCCTTCGGTGGCGGGGTCTTCTGGAGGAGTAAGTACAAGTTACTAGCGGACCAAGGGCCAGCTTGGAGGACGGTGGCCGTGGATATGCGGAGGGGTAGTAGAGGATCATTCGGCAAGGGGTTCCTTCGGAGGGAGGATCGTTCGGCGGAGCGGTCGGTTCGCTTCGGTGGCGGATCTGCTGGCAGAAGGGCGAGGAAGCCGGATACCTTTGCGGGGAGTGAGCACCTTACAGTGGCACCAACAATAAATTCGGAGGTTGGTGGAGGCGGTGGTGGAGGAGGGTGTGGAGGAGGATCCTTTGGCGGCGGAGCGGCGGATCTTTCGAAGGTTTCAGGCGGCGGTGGTGTCTGGCAGTTACCTGCCGCCCTCCGGGAAATACACTGCATCTACAGGAGATATATTCGATCAAATGGATGTAATGAATTTTCTGAGAATAAAATTATTTAACAATGGAAACGATTTTAGAGCGTTAATATTGAAAATTACGAGAAACAGGGAATATTCTCCGCTTTTGATGTTAAAAATACTATGTTATTGATAATACTGATAAGGTAAAAATATGATAATGCCAATATAGTAATTTATACAATGATATGATAGCAAAAGTAATAATGGTGACAGTTATACACACACAAACACATGTATATACATATAATATAATATATATGTATTATATATATGTATTTGGTTTTATGTTTAATATATATGTGTATCAGTATCTCATTGGGGGGTACCGCTTCTTGCGGTAGGGGGCATAGCAGCGTCCACCCTTCGTTTTCCACCTGCGAGGGGTCTCTCATGGCGAGCCAGCAAGGAAGTTGGGCCCGGCCCCACTCTAGTTCTAACGACAGGTTTGATCGATCTGCCCAAGCCCATGACCTTCGTGGTCGTCCAACAGGCCTCCTCCACCCAGGGTTGTCTCGAACAGAGACAACCTGATGGGCAGGATCATCCTGAAGGAGTCGAAGCAGAGTGGCATATAGCATGAGTTGCGTCCACGGATTGTGCAAGTAACAGTCCTTGTTACCGTCTCACGGTGATAGCTGGTGGTTGGATACAGGGTCCGCCAACTGTACCCCATGATTCCGGCGCGGGATCTGTTACAAAAGGCCATCGAGGCGGGATTTCCAAAGCACAAGATAGCGTCCAAGTTTTCCTACCATATAGTAAAACTGGAAGTATCAGGGCCTTGAAAAAAACTCGTAGCTTGGTTCCTTCTGCAAGGGTACGCATCTCCAAATACTCTTGTCGAGAGATTTCATGACACTGCTGCCAGGCCAATCGTTCTACTGATTCCTGGTCTGACAGCCCCAGAGTCATGAACTGGCACCCTACCGAGCGGTATATAAAAACTCTAGGGACTTCGATGTTTTCACCGCAAGCACGGACCGACTGCACAGGGTCTCCTAGTAGCGCCCCCAAAATCCTGGATTCTGGTCTGGTCCAGGAGACCTCTAGACCCAGGGGGCTTCGCTTCATGCTAAATGCACAAGAGCCGCTACTAGGGTTTCCAGAGATTCAGAAAGAATGGCAAAATATCAGGTTGCAAGTCAAGGTCTGTACCTGATATTGCCCAGAGTGCTCCACAAGTGACTTTGGACAGTAGCTCACCCCAGTATCCCTCCATGCAAGTGTTGAAAAGTGTTGGTGCAGGACACAGCCTTGCTCACGCCTGAGCTAACAGGAAAGAAGTATCGACAGGCCCCACCACACTTACAGCACTTCAGTGCCTGTATTTACAAGTTTGCTATTAGCCCACAATCCTTGATAGGAATTCTCTCAGTCTCAGGATTCCCAGAGTGATCGCGAATGCACCGTGTCAAAAGCCTTCTTGAGTCGATGTAGGCTGCAAGCAGCCCACGTCCGAATCACGACGGCGACTATACACATGACTTCGAACGCCAGGATGCGGGTCTATTGTGGACTACTTTACCAGGAGTGAATCCAGATTGCTCGGTCTTGGTGCCTCAGGAGGTGGTTCTCTGGTACCGTTCTCAGTAAGATTGTGGGCGAGTACCTTGCCTGGCACACTGAGAGCAGTGTTAATTGCCTCGGTGATTGCTGCAGTCCCCCATTCCCCATTTCCCTTCCAGAGAGGGAGACCATACCCCAAGTAGGTCAGGGGGGAATGGTACCGGTCTGCAAGATGGCAGACAGGACTGATGGCAAGCCCTTGCCATAGGTTCTCCACCAGACTTTTAACACAATTCAGCGGGGATGCCGCAGACACATGCTGCCTTTACCATCTTCAGTTGGAGATCGGCCCCCTGACTTCAGTCAGGGAAGGGGATCCTCGCTGTGATGGGGTGGGTCTGGCAGAGGAGTTCAACATTCCCAGCCCATCCAAAGTTAAATGTTTGGTGATCAACATGATACACTGCTCAAACTACTCAGCCAACGCCACCGCACCCCACTCAGGATCTGAGATTACATGAACATCCTGGCGGACTACGTTCGTCTGTGAGGAGGGCTTGGAGTTCAGCTTTCTTAAGAGTGGTGGAAGGACGAAGGTCATTTACTAGGGAAACGGCGTTCGAAACTCCCTGAAAGATTACTGATATACTGTTCCTTATCCCTTCTCAGCAGTTGACCAGTCCTGAGCGCCAGAGAACGGTTTTTTGCAAAAAATTGCCGATCCTTCCTGCAATCGAGAGCACGGCAAGCTTCTGTGGCTTACAGTGTCTAGTGCGAGGATGGGATTCTGTCTTGCTCAAGGGCGTACACCCATGGATTCCTGAGCTGCATCAAGCGTTTTCCCGATGAAGAAGTCCCAATAACAACAGGGTCTGTCAGGCCCTCGAGTGCTGTTGAACCGACCAGTGTATATATATATATGCGAGGCTATATATATATATAATTATATTACCTATATTCTTTGCTGAATATAATCAGACAACAGGTAAGCAGCATCTTAAACAAAGGGAAACCGACAAATCACTAGCCTTAAATTGATTATTTCCGTGTGTTGAATAGTTTGTATGTACGGGGCTATACTCAATAAGCCTCGGGGGGCTAGTACAGTAGTGATTCCGAGTCGGCCTCTATCCGAGGGGTCGGTGTTTGCCGCCCAGAAAAGGCGCGAGAAGTTGCACATTTTTGGGGTCGCCTGGAGGTTACTGCTGTGGCTGGGCACCACGGCGGGTAAGGACGAAGCTTCTGCCGAGTCAGCACAAGCTGACCACACGTTAGCGAGTAGGCATTAGTCAACACAACCCAGGTCCCCACATGGACATAGCCCGGGCGAGGCTCAGCTTCGCTTTATCCTTATGTATTCCAATTACGCAGGTACTTAATTAGTGTTTTTTTTTTGTGCGATTATGTCCAGGCTTTTCGGCTTTGCGCAAGCTGGTGGAATGTCTTTAAATGGATTGTGTAATGAGCATGAGTTGTTTTGGTGCGAAGCGGATACTTCACTAAGGGTTGTTTCCATGACATTAAGTGTGGCGCGAAGATTTGATACTTGATTAAGTTCTTGGGCACAGTTGGCACGAAACTGGCATTCACGCTTCATAGTATAGTGACCTTTTATTCTGTTCGTAATATCCCTTTTACCCCGACTGCAGGGTCCTACTAAGAATGAAACTTTTTTTTTTCATTTCGTAATCAACATTCTGAACCCTAAGTATGTATTCAAATCCTGTCTTCTAGTCAATCCTAATTGGACCCCTTGGTTTTCCATCCCTGAACTAACCCCTTGGTGTCAATACTTAATTGGACCCCTGGTTTCCATTCTTAATCGACGCCGTGGATTGACCCCCCAGCTTCCGGCAAGGCTGCTAGAAGGGGATCCTGTTTCCCGCACCACCTGTGGAATCAAGTAGACCTCATCTAGCCATTAATTTGCTTAAAATTTGATATTGTTTTTCTGCATGGAACAAAGAAAATCATTCTCGCCAGTTCATCATCAAATCCGCGATGGAGGCTTTGTTTACCATCAGCAGAGGGGAAGACATCCACACGCTGGGCACGATATATTCGGTGCTCATTAAAATAGATCATAAGCAGTGGATGCATACGAAGACTGATAAGATTATTATCAAGTATTCATACCTTCAACATCAAAGGGTAAGAAGGGTAATGTTCGCCGCCTGCTTAAAAAAAAAAAAAAAAAAAAAAAAAAAAAAACATCATGTGTTCGTGACCATATCCCGCAGTAATAGTGATCATGTCAATCGAACACATTGTTACTTGACTTAAGATGTGGGGAAAGGGAGGGAGGGCGGGGAGAAGAGTTAGGAATATGATGAGGAAGAGGGGTGGGGTAGGGAGTGGGGGACGGGGGGCAAGGGAGAAAGGGAATGATGCGGATGTTGAAGTGGCAGTAGGAAACGAAAATCACGGTGTTATATAAGAGCACCTCCGTTGCGCGGCATCAGTATCACTCTCATATCCCATGTGGTAAGACCTCTTGCGGCAGAGGTATATGATTCAATTCTTGCTAAATGTTTCACTTTAGTATGTCCTGCATCCAATCGGTAAAAGTGTTTCTCCCATAGTTACAAATTACAACAGACTCAGGTAAGCAAGATACCCTGTTGCTTTCAAGACGGAGTGGCGTTGGTTGTTGGGCTTGCTCGTCGGTTCTGCCTACAGCAGCTGCCCCTCGCGGTGCTGTGGTTGAGGATCCTCTGGTGGCAATCAGTCGTTTCCTTCGGCGGACCCCCACATAGCTTCGGCGGTTCTATGAGGAGGCGGGTCCTTCGGAGGAGGAGCCTTCGGGGGAGGATCCTTTGGAGGAAAAGGGGGGGGGGGGGGGGTTTTTACTGGAGGTGGCTGTGGAGGAAGAATAAGTACCAGCTAGGAGGACCAACCATAACTTCGGTGGAGGAGGAGGGCGGTGGGTCCTTGGGTGAGGTTCTCCTTCGGAGGAGGATCTTTCGGAGGTGGTGGCGGATCCTTCGGTGGCGGGTCCTCTGGAGGAGTAATTACAGTTACACGTACCAAGTAAACTAGCTTCGTAGGTGGCATGATCTGTCGGAGGGTGGCAGAGGATCCTTCGGGCTAGGATCCTTCGGAGATGATCGTTCGGCCGGAGGGCGGCGGGTCCTTCGGTGGCGGAGAGTATCCCTTTTGTCGGGGAGTGAGCAATCACTTACAATGCCCAAGGCAATAACTTCCGGGAGGCTCTGCCGGAGGCGGTGGGAGGAGGATCTTTCGGAGGTGGTGGCGATGCCTTCGGTGGCTGGTCCTCTGGAGGAGTACGACAAGTTAGCGGACCAAGTACTGAGCTTCGGAGGTGCAGTGGGATCTGTCTAGGGGGCAAGGATCCTTCGGCAGAGGATCCTTCGGAGGAGGATCGTTTCGGCGGAGGGGCGGGCGGTCGCTTCGGTGGCGGAGGAGGATCTTGGCTGGGGAGTGACAACACTTACAGATGGCTCCAAGCATAACTTCGGAGGCTCTGGCGGAGGCGGTGGAAGGAGGGTTGGGGAGGTATCCGTTGGCGTCAGAGCGGCTGGTCTTTTCGGAGTTCATGCGGCGGTGTGTTGCAGTTACCTGCCGCCTTCCGGGAAATAACTGCATCTACAGGTAAACATATTTTCTAGTAATGAATGTTATGTATGTTTGAGAATAAATTATTTAAAACAATGGAGCTATTTTTTAGAGGCGTTAACATATGGAGATTAACGGGAACAAGGGGATAGCTCGTTCGGCACTGATAGTATAGTATGGGTTTTTTGATAATACTGAATAATTACGATGTATAATAATGATATAGTAATACTTCAAATGATAGTAATGTAAGAAATGATGCGTCACACACACACACACACCATATATATATCTACATATATCCATCCTCTGTGTTATAATTAGAAAATACCATCAATGAAAGAAATACAGACAAACAGGCCAGCAGCATTTTAAACAAGGAAACCACCAATCACTAGCCTCCTCACATTATGCACACCCCATCATCAGAGGGTGTGGGCTTTTAACGGACTTACGCAAAAATCCCTCACTACCTTCCCCGTTTACTGATGCATTTAAACGAAATAAATACTCGTCTATCTCGAATAGCTCTTTTTTGTTTTTCTAAACCTGTTATTATAACACTATTCACAATTCACATCAGAATGAATA